TGGCTCATGTCCAGCTCTTCATTCACCAGAACACTTAAGTCCTTCTCTGCAGGGTTGTTCTCAGTGAGTTCATTTCCTGTATGCCTAGCTGGTATTGCCCTGACCCAGGTGCAGCACCTTGCATTTGAACTTGAACTTCATGAGTTTTTCATGGACCCATTTCTCAAGTTTGTCCAGGTCCCTCTGGATGGCGTCCCTTCCTTTTGTTGGTTCAACTGCATCACTTCATGTCATCTGCAAACTTGCTGAGGGTATGCTCAATCTCACTGTCTATGTCATCAATAAATACATTGAAGAGCACCAGCCCAAGACAGAGCCCTGAGGGACACCAGTCATCACTGGCCTCCACCTAGACAGACATGTTGACCACAACTCTCTGGCTACCATTCATCAAGCCCAAGTCTTTACTACATCTCATTATCAAAGCATAAGTAACAGTTTTTACAAGTTTTTTCACTGTTTTTCCACTACATAAAAGGTAGGGGGTGTAATCTATAGGATGTTAAACTTCTGCTATTACATACTGAACATGGATCAACTCTTGTTACAGACAATAGGACAATTACAGTATTACCATCCATTGCCTTGGGAAACTGAAGCTCAAACAACATCCAGAAAATACCACTCAAGAATCACACTAATTACTCCTCTCTTTCCAACACATTCAGTAGGCAGATAAATACTATCATCAAATTCAGAGAACTATGTCAAGGAAGCAGTAAGTAACTCACCTCAGACCACAGAGAGGGTCAGGCATGAGGCTGTAATATACACAATACAAATTATCACCTGGCATGTCAGATTTGTGTGAGAGATGTCTTTGACTAATGGTAGCTGAACCATTAAGTGCAGCACAGTGCCATCATCCCTCCTCTATCCTCTAACACTTTCTGCCAGATGCAAGGAGTTCTCCAGTTAAAAGTATCCTTCAAAAAGCTGCATCTACTGTAGGCCACAGCACTGCCCTGCTGCTAGCAACATAAACACATGAAATAACATCTTAGCCTTGTAGAAATGGAAGTCTCATACTCAGTGGGTGAAGTTTGACAAGTCTTTAAAAGCAATGTCTCCATAGAGGCATATTAGCAAAATATTCAGTATATACAGAAAAACTGCTGGGTACAGAGTGATTGCAAGCAGACTGACATATCCCTGTAAATCTTAATTATTCAAACTGGCTCAGGGCAAGCCTTAGCAAGTTCACATCATATTTCATTTTTACTCTGTCAGTTGGTTGTGAATTTTATTAGCATTTAATAGCAGCTTCTTGAAATTCAATTGTGTCAGCTCTAATAGGTCATCTGAAACTGCTCTTTACTTTCAATTTTAAGGAGAAAAGGTAACTAGAAGGGCCTGAATTCACTAGGGTGTTGAATGACTAAACTGATCTAATGCACTGAAGTGCCACAGAAGTGTCTTTGCTACAACAGTAAATTTTTTTTTCTGAAATATACTTACTTATTTCCAATCTTAACCACAAGGTTAGGGTCATCAATGATAGCAGGATTGTCCACAAACTGCTGATATGTTACTGCATGTTCTAAGAATTCTTCTGTGGAGGGAAAAAGTGACATTTGTAAAGCATGCATTTATAGATGCCTGGGATGGGCCCACCTAAATCTCTTAGCATCTCTCAGATGCACAGGTTTCACACTAATTACAGGGGTGCTGGAATCAGCTGTAATATAGAAGCATGCTCTTCAGAGACTCTCGATCTCAGAAGATGCCAAAGGTTTCTTTGTTTGCTGCTGGGTGTCTTTCCTGTTCAAAATACAACCTAAGTAAAAGCTCAAGGATGGAACTGTGAGGGAGGAAAATCAGGTTTCTAAGCAAGGCAAGGAAACACTCGCCATGTCTTTCACTGATCCTCTGTCTGTCCAAGTTAGGAGCAAGAACCAATGAGCTCCATGTATATGCAAGCCCACAGCCAGAAACCCAATGTTCACTTGTAAGGCGAACAGCAAAGGGAAATGTCTATGAATAACTACCCCATTCACTGTACCTGTGACTCTTATTTAGAAAACTTATGTAATTTACAAGTGATTCAGATAACAACATGACTCCAATAAATCATAATGTATTTGAACTGTTTCAGAAACTAGCTTCTGAACAGCAATCACTGTAGCTATCAGGCTCATATGATTTTAATGATGCCACATTACTGCAGAAAGTGCAAGTCTTAACACATTTATCTTCACATTATGCCACTGGAAGCTTAAGGCACAGAGTATTGCAAGTGATTTACCTAGAAGTTACACAAGAAATTGGAGGTAGGGCAGGAACTCAGGTTAAACTTTCCAACTCTCTCTCCTAGTGTCCCCACGTACACATCAACTTTTTCATTCCTGACACCAACAGCTGTGAATTTCCTAGCTACCTACTGTACCAAGTGGCAGAAGTATAATTAACACTACTGTGATACAAAACATAAGACTTCCACAAAATTAAAATACGAATAAAATACTTTCAAAAAATTTTGTATATGTAAGTCTACTATTTTAAGTATGAAAAACTCTAGGAAATGTAATGTACATGGCCAGTATTTATCTTCTCAGCACATTGTTGAGCACAGCCACAGGAGGGCCCTGCAGCCTCAGGCTGGGATGCTGGCTGCCAGCACATGCCTGCAATTCAGAAAGTCATTCTGCACCTTTGGTTATCTCTTTGTTGTCAGTAAGGCCCCCGCAGAGAGAAACGGCAATGGAAGGCAAATCCCGCATTCCATCGGAGGTGCTTTCAGCTCCACTGTCAACACCTGAGCTCCCAACAGACTGCGGAGAGTGGCTGGCTGACCGCGGCCCCATGTCATTCGTGTTCTTGGTTTGGACATTATCCCCACTGGAAGAGAAATATCAGGAGTTCAGTCTTCATGTATTGGTTATCAAATTTGCTCCCTTCAACAAGTACTGTTTATATCTGACGCACACTTAGGGGAAGAAAAATTTGTATACATTTCACAGCAAAACAAAACAAATATAGGCCTCATATACCCTCAAAAATTAGATTGCTTCTACTCACTTGTCTCAACTAGGCATGGATAATTATAGCTGCACTTATTTACAAGAGATAGGAAAAATAAAACAAACTGTACAATCTTAGTAGACAAAATAATGCTACAATAAGCAGAGTTTATACTAGTAGAACTATTCCCACACGGGAATAAGAATAAACATAATCATTTATTATTTCATTTATATTCATTATATAAACTGATAGCTAAACCCAAACAAAGGATATGTATGTTTGTGTATTTATATGTCATGTACATATAAATAAAACACTCTGCATATAAACTACTAGGATTAAAATTTTAAGAAACAATAAATCATTAAACCCTCTAAAAATCTGGGCATAGATGAGATCATTATTACAAAGTGCAAGCTCATCAAACTCTGCTTTCCACTCCAGATTTATATGAATGTATTTGCAAAAGGAATTTTCAATCCAGTATTTTCTCCATATAACTAAACTTTCTCAGTTTTATTGAAATGCTAATATTACAACAGATGAGTTTAAGCAAGCAGAAAAAAAAAAAAAGAAAATATACAAGCTACTTTAGTTGTTGCTCCATGACTTTAGTCAAATGACTAGAGTATGATGTGGAAAGAAGACTATAGATGTTATATTAGGCTCTAATAAAGATCAGAACAAGTTGGTAATTGTATGTTCAGGGTGCAATATTTTCATACATAACTCTGTCATGCATCTTCCAAAAATTATTTTCTCCCATTCCTACTGATAAGTGATCATCCACAGCAGAACAACATTAGAGCAGTAATTTTCTGCTAATACTGTAAACAGTAAGGTATGTTCTTCATGATAATAAGCCAGGACATAAATATATCCCAAGGCCAACTCCTTGCTCTCCCAGGACATATGAGTAACAGACACAAACAACAGTGTATATTACGTAAAAATCCACAATCAATATATGATGCTTAATTGACCAAAAGAGATCATCAGCTGCAAGCACACTTCTCAGGCCCAAATGCAGCACCATCCAAAAGATCTAATATTCCTCTCTACAGAGGTAGAGAGGATTTTCCTTCTGCCTTCATCTCTACCTGGACACTGAAAAAGAAGTCTTATCTGGTTGGCAATGAAGAATTTGATCTAAATATAGAAGGTGACAAGAGCTCCTTCTAAAATAAAAATATAAGAAAATGGCTTATACTTCTTGGGAAAATAAAGCGCAGCAACTTCTGGATCCATGTCAGTGAGGTCATCTAAATAGACACCATCAGCACCAAGATGCCGGCTGCGTTTGTCTGTAAAGAGACAGCACAAATCATCTATGAATTAATATTTTCTGAGTAACAATCCAGAGCTATTATTACTGTTTAACTATTCATTTTCAGATTGAGAAAACAGACAAGTTATAAGAGTTTGTGAACTGTATTTGTACAAAACGGTACTGACAAAAATTTCAAAACAAGCTGCTTATACACATTGTTCAACCTTTGAACACAAAATGGGACAGCAGAGGACTAGTTTTGAGACATGACAAAGTCTCCCCAGACAAAACCACTGGGAATACAAAGTCAGTGGTCACCACAGGAAAACAGCAAAAGGAAAATTCTTGAAGTATTTCTGTAGGCCTATTATCACAGAGCGGCAATCAGAGCATTTAATCTCCGAGAACTAATCTTTAATTCACCCTTGCAAAAGGGAAATAACAGACTAAGCTATAGTCACTGACACACTATAACTGGCTTGTTATGGAAACAACTCACTGTTGAGCACATACAACTGATGTTTATGTTGAGCATATACACTGATGTGCACCATTGCAGGGGATGAGACAACTCTCCTAGGACTGTCACTAGGACCAACACACAGAGCCACCACTGTCCTGTTGTTGCTAGCACACCTAGACAAGTAACCACTGTAATGTCAAAACCTAATTTGGAATTCATTCTAAAACCCACAACTTCTCACCATCTCAATTTCTAAGATCAAGCATTAATAAAGCAATCAGAAAAGTTATACAAAGACTGAATATCAAGCAGAGTAACATCCTTTTTTTGTTTACAAAGGCAGTTGAATGCATGGCAAAGAGGCTAAAAAAACTTGTATATTTTTACTGATCAAAAAGCAGCTGCCCAAACTAGGCTTATATAGGGCTTACATAATTATAGAATGATCAGAGCTCTAAAACACAACATTTTTTAGCAAATAAATTTCATATGAATACTAACATTTGTCATAAAATACCATGGATAGAGAGCCCAGAAATTAGGAAGTAGAAAAGCAGATGGCATTATATTTCACAAATTCAGGACAGGACGTGTACCACACATAACAGAAAAGGCTCATGTGAAATAATACCACCTTACTTTATGGCAAATCTGTTGTTTGTACAAAAGATATACTACAACTTTGTACTGGAGCCAAGTTTCCACAATTACCACTATCACATAACTCAGGTGAACCAGCAGATCTACAGTGTGCTTGTAGTAAAAAGTGAAATCCCTGAATCTGTCAAATATTAATGAAACTGGAGCAAGTTTTGCTCATATGCACAGAGGTGCCACAAACTCCAGACCAAGGAGAATCTTCTATCTAATACATATCACCTGTGAACAGCCTACTGCACAACTCAGGTTCTGAAGGCTCCTTCCAAAGGTTATTCTTTTCCAGTTCTGAAAGTGCCTTCAGGACACAGATTGACTTATATAGCAATTATCACCATAAAATTTGAAGACAAAATCATACATACAAAAGTGCAGAATCAATAGCTTTACCTTTCTTTCTGGAAGGGGAATCTGTCTTGCTAGTGGGTTGGGTTGAGCAAGCTGCAGCTTGTTTTATATCTTCATTGGCAGACAATGGTGCTACAGCTGCTCCTGGCAACTCTGTCTCTGGCTTATTTGTCTCAGCTGGTAAGGGCTCACTTTCATCAGCAGCTGCTGTATCTGCTTGTCCAAGGGCAGGCAGAGGAGACAGTGTGTTAAACTCCTCTATAGGAGAACTCTGGATGACCCGAAAGTGAGTGCTTTCAGAAGGATTTACATCCACCATGCTGGGTTCCTTAGATTTGAGCAGAGAACTGGCCTGTGAGGATAATTAAACAGATTACTATAAAGAAAAGCTCTTACAAAATGCAACAGGTGGAGTTTAACCTGTTCTGTTCAGTCCTGTGAGATCAGATTCTCAAGGTAACCAACTACAGCAGAAAGCCACCACTACCTGAGATGGAGACTACAGTGTACAAGAGACCTCTCTGCTGTGTGTTTTGCTGTGCAAAATTCATCTGCATCTTGGTACTGGGAAAGTTTTGTTCTGCAATGTGCTCTACAATCTTCATTTTCCACTCACCTGCACATCCCAGATCCCATCCTGCCTTCTTCCCTTGCTGTGAAAATTCTGGCTTTCCTTCAGAAGGTAACCCTGACAAACATGAGAATGTGGAGACACTCAGGCACCAGGGCAGGGGCACACTGTTACTCATCTATACCTCAGATTTAGATTTTAAATCCCTTTGTAGGAACAATTACAGATCTTCTCGAAGTGTGAGACAGGAAGTGTTCTTACAGAGGAGAGTCGAACTACACCAGCAGCTGTACAGCTGCTATACAATTCATGTCACAGCAAACAAACACAATCAAGAGCATCCAGTGCATAACTCCCAGTTCACGTATGGCCAGATCAACTTGGAATACCTTAGCTAGGGATAGAGACACGGACTGCAGAGGGAAAAGCCTCCAAGAGCAGTATTTGCAGAATACACCAGACTGTGTGACCGGAATAAAAATAAAACACCTAAACCTGCTAACAGGAAACCCTAAATTCTAGACTGCAGATGCTAATTTGAAATTCTCACACGGACCTGAGCACTTAAACCAGTTCTGTATGTACTGAAAATAGCTCACAATTTTCTTGTAATACACACAAGGAGGAGAATAACGCAGAAGCGATGGGACAGCTCATATTTGGCCTACCAAAGAAGAAGCCAGAGCTCTTCTGAAAAAAAATAACAATTCTGGATTTC